CCCGGGCTGCACAGGGCAGCCAGTGTGCAGCATGCGGCCGCCCACCCTGCGCCTGCTGGTGGTGGTGCAGGTGCGCGAGCTGGAGGAAGAGATCCGCGGGGAGCGGCCTCGGGGCGAGGCGGCGGCGGCAGGCCAGCAGGCACGGCAGGAGGAGGAGGAGGAGGAGGAGGAGGAGGAGGAGGAGGAGGGCGGGTTTGACATTGATTCCGGCGACGAGGGGGAGGCCGGCGGCGAGGAGGCGGAGGAGGGGAGCAGCAGCAGCAGCGATGATGATGATGATGAGGAGGAGGAGGCGGCAGGCGCAGCGCAGGCGGGCGACCCCGCTGACGCTGACCTGGCAGCTGCCGCGGCTGGCGAGAGCGCTGGCGAGGAGGAGGAGGCTGAGGGGCAGGGCGGGGAGGTGGATGGGGAGGCGGCGGCGGGCGGCGCGGCCGACGTGGACGCCGACGACGACGCCGGCCTGTGCGCCGCGCTGTTCAAGGTGCGCCCGCCCACGGCTGAGCGTTGGGCGGGGCGCGCGCCCTGCTGCTCACTACCCGCCGCAGCGGAAGCCGCCTTCCCGTGTGCCGTTCCTTCACGTGTGTTTTGTTCATGCCACCCAACTCCGCCCCGCCCCTCCCCTCCCCTCCTCTTGTCCTTGCCCCGCAGGGCCTTGTGTTCTTCCTGGGTCGGGAGGTGCCTCGCGAGCAGCTGCTGCTGGTGGTGCGCGCGTTTGGCGGCGAGGCGGGGTGGGTGGGCGAGGGGTCTCCCGTGGAGGAGGGGGACGAGCGCATCACGCACCAGGTGTGGCGGGGTGGGGTGGTGGCGCCGGGAGGAGCAGGGGGAGGCGTTCACGCGAGGCTGGGCCGGAGCAGGGGGGCGCGCGTGGCCCTCTGCTGACATCAGCCGCCACATCATGGGCTGCCGCCCCACACACGCCCCACACTGCCCTGCCGCCCCCACCCCACCCCGCCCCACCTGGTGCGTGATGCGCTCGTCCCCCTCCTCCACGGGAGACCCCTCGCCCACCCACCCCGCCTCGCCGCCAAACGCGCGCACCACCAGCAGCAGCTGCTCGCGAGGCACCTCCCGACCCAGGAAGAACACAAGGCCCTGCGGGGCAAGGACAAGAGGAGGGGAGGGGAGGGGCGGGGCGGAGTTGGGTGGCATGAACAAAACACACGTGAAGGAACGGCACACGGGAAGGCGGCTTCCGCTGCGGCGGGTAGTGAGCAGCAGGGCGCGCGCCAGTA